GCCCCTGGAAACGGGCCTCCTTGTGTCGTCGTTCGCGGTGGACAGCTCGCGGCCCCGGGATTCGCGCGCGTCTACGCAAGTTGGGGACATGTGGTCACCGTCCCCTGGGGGCGCCGGCGGCCGGCGTCACGCCTGTGGCCGCGGAGGGGGCCCAGGTGGGGCCCCGGTGGGGGGCAGCCCGCCCCGCATGCCTCCCATCGCTGGGGGGCGGATTGGGGGGGCCGGTGACCCCGCACGCCTCCCATTAGGAGGGGCCCCAGTGACCTCGCACTCCTCCCATTAGGAGGGGCCCCAGTGGGGCGCAGCCCGCCTCGCACCCCTCCCATCGCAGGGGGCCCCCGATGACCCCGTACCCCTCCCATTAGGGGGGCCTCGGTTAGGAGCAGCACCCCGCACCCCTCCCATCGCAGGGGGCCCCGGTGGGGTGCAGCCAGCCCCACACCCCTCCCATCAGTACTGACACGTGCAAACGAGATCTCAGTGCAAATGGTCACCCATTGGACAGTGTGCGCTAGTGGGTGAGGGCAGACACAGTCGCGGGGAGACCTTGGGGGCCATACAGGGTACCCCTCCTGAAACTAACTGGCGCCTGGACAAATGACTGGGCCGGGAAGAAATCAATCTGTGCATCTGTGAAGCACGTGCAGTACCTGCACCCAGAGCTCCAGTGTGAGATGAAGACCCAACCGGCCAGTAGGGCCTTAGCTGGCAACTGCTGCCTTAGCTGGCAGGTGGCTGCTGGTGAGATTTCTGCGCTTCAGGAAGCCAGTGGTCCGGCGTGGGCACTGCTCGAGTGGGCGGTAGCTTCCCCTGGCTGCTGAAGCCAACTTAGGGGTTTGCAGTGATGACATTGCTCGGAGGCCGGCGCCCGCACTGGGCCATCAGGGTGCGCTCAGGACGCTCCGGAAGGCTCGCTGTGGTTGCTTGTCCCTTCCAGTCCACAAGCCGTCTAATGCCTGAACTGCCCTCTGCTGCGCTGTCCCACCTGCACGCCCGCCCGTCCCCAGCCGATGCCCCTCTTCTAGCCCACGCCTCTCTCTTACAAAGACTGGTGGCTACCCCGGCCGCTCCAGGACACCCACCATCTCCCCGCCTCGTCCTTAACCCACAACACGCAGGAGTTATTTTGCCCCAGGTCCAGCTCACACACCCACTGGCAATGAAGACATGGACATCTCTGGGGGCCAGTCGGCCAGCAGTTGTGCTTTATACCACTGGGAACCGCTTCACGCTCGTGGAGTCTTAGGCAACCTGCAGGGTCCTTGTTCAGAAACCGTGGAGCGTTTCAAGCCCGTGGCAGCGAAGCAGCCAACCAAGCTGAGGCCCCTCCTGGCCCGCACGGGTCACGGCCATGAGCCAGGCTGCCGCCTTTTCTGCACGGCCCTTCTTGCCTGCCTCCAACTGTGTCCTGCTCGTCCCTCGCCTTGAAACAAGAATTTCTGCAGGGTTCTCCCAACTGCTTTTCCATCTCCCTTTCTAGTGGCCAAACCTCTATTTTCTAGGCCCCGTTATCCTCTGTATGTGAATGTGTTCTTCCCATCCTCGCATTAGTCATTCTCCCAGGAAATGCCGGATCCTCTCTCAAGGTGCTTGGCCTCTGTTCCGCACTGAGTATTACTGGTAACAGGTGCTTTCCTGGGGTCGTGTTCTAAAAATTCCCGGGAATTTTTTTGATGTTAGACAAAGGTTAGATGATACATTTCCTTATAAAATCTCAGGTACTTTCAGGGAGCTTTAACCCCAAGCCCTTTAGTACAGATGATGCCAAATGCAGAATCCATGGGCTGTCATGAGAGCCCTTCACAAGGCTTGTCACTGAACGACAGTTGAGCGGTCACGGATTGGAAGGGGAAACCGACGTAGCACCCCAATGCCCAAGCAGACAGCTGGTGTCTCCTCTGTTACTTGATCCTGAAAGTCATAGCAACGACAATGCCTGTTTGTCTCAGCTCATCCACCTGAGATACAACGCCTGAAGGACTCGTGTTTTTATCTAAATGAGATGGAAGCTGCATTGGTGCTGAAGGACAGTGTGCCCGAGCCCACGCCTGTGGGGGTCTGTCCACGCTCTTGCCAGTGCCGAGCGTGTCAGAGGGTCCTTCGCAGTGAGCGACTGCAGACTGCCTCTCCTTTCTCCTGTCCCAGCTTCCTTGTTTACTTTTGCTTTCCTTAAAGTCAAGCATAGTTGTCGAGTTCCTCAGTGGTTCAGTGTGAAGCTTCCAGTCTCGAACGCTGAGGCAGCTTCGTAATAGAAGGGAAAGCATGGTTGCAGGCCTCAGAAATCGGTTCTGGCAACTTCTTTTTTTTAAGAATGGCAAATGAACAAAGGTGAGAAAGGACTTACAGTAACAAGTATGATTTCACCATTTGCACCTCTGTAATGAGGGCGATCCACCAGGATTCCGGAAATGAGAGGAGAATCTTCCCCAGGGCCCTGCTTTGGACTGACTGGTTCCAGTGGCTTTTAGCCCGGTCACATTCCTTCTAGAATTCAGCTTGTTGGGGAGAGAGGAAGCCCCTCAGTTAACAGCCAAAAGGCCAGGGGGACTGGGCAAGAAATAGTTACACAAGTGAGCAGCAGGTACTTCTGCCTCCAGGTATTAATGGGCCGGGAGGGATGCTGGCCAGGCGGGACACCGACAGGCGGGCTCTTTGGGAAGTCACCCTCCTCGGCCTCTCCATGCTGACTGACTTGTGTGTTTAACCTCGGCTGCATCACACATTCACGAAGTCACCGCAGATACCTGAGGACCAAACACCAGAAATGACACCTCGGGGCACCCGCGACCTGGGAGCAGAGCAGCTTTCCTGTGGTAGCTGACCAGCACCCGGGTCAGAGGAACCTCGTTGTGAACTGTGGGGTAGAAAACTTGACCCCATGCTTTGGCTGGGAGAATTTATGGGTCCCCAGGCCTGTGCGTGTGAGCAGGGCCAGGGCCAGCTGCAAAATAAATCAGTGTGAGCCGCCCCGTGCGGTGATGCGACTTGTTTTGTTGGGACAAAGTAGGGAGGCGTTAGACTGGAGCAGCAACTGGACCAGGCGGTAATTCCACTGGGGCGGGTCTTGCCCGCGGCGCCCACGATGCCTAATGGTCAAGCAGGCTCAGCTGTGGATGGCTCCATGCGCCGCTGCTTGGCACGCAGAGGCGAAGTGGACTTCCGTCGTGACCAGTTTCATTCACGCTCGAAATACAGGCCCCTGGCGTGCACAGGACACACTCTGTTTATCACAGATCCCACCATGGCGTTCTCAAACACCGGGGAGTCTCTTGCGCTCTGGCCCACTCTCCTCCCTCACTTTCCCTTCTTCTCACTTCCCCAGAGGATGAAGACTGGTCTCTTGGGTGCAAGTCATCAGAGCCCGGGCGCCCCTGCCCGCCAACCCACTTAGCACCACACCTCCTGCTCTGAGCTTGTGTCCTAGACGCCCGGACGATCACGTCAAAGGATTCT